CCCTAACATTCTGTGATTCTGTGAAAATGCAGTTGGAAACAGAAGAAAATAAAATTATAAAGTACACTGCCCTTCTTCCAATATTTACACAGTGATAACATGCGGCATCCTCTAAGATCCAAAATGCAATGATTACCAAAAGTACCAGTTTTTATTAACTGGCCTGATGACCTCAGTTGTAGCATTAAAAGAAAAACCACATCAATTCCAGATGAATTACAGTAGTGCCATTACTCAGGTACTTTTAAAAAATAATTAAAAAGATCACTAACTAAAATCTTAAATTAGTGCCAAATAGCGGCTAACTTACTATATGGGAAAAAAAAGCAAATGAGGCTACATATTAATAGAATCCATTTCTAGCAGCTCATCTTTCAGTCATTATCAGTTGTACTTTTTCCCCTATCTTTCAGAGGTTATTTCTCTCTACACAGCAAAAAAAGTTCAGATTTTATTGTTTTTCAATTCTCAGAAAACTGAGAAAACTTTTCCTGTGGCACAAAACATAGAAATTCTTTTGGTTCTAAACTTCACAGAAAATTCTACAAAAATTTTTCAATGATAACAGGGTAGAAAATCCCATCAATTTTCTTCTAGGAACACACAATTAAAAAAAGAATAATTAAGAACAAATTAGCTTCGAACAGATTTCATTTATACTGTAATTGTTAATCACCCCAATACTCACTTACAAGGTGGCTAAATAAAGTTACTTTTTTGACACATTTTTAGCACTTTATACACTCACTGTACAGATTCATTTGATGTTGGTAAACACTCAGTACTTTTACCTATGCCAAGTAATAAAACAGATCAAGAAAGAGCACAACATTTAAGCAGAATTGATATTGTGTAGCCTGTCCAGCATTATCAAGAACTGTTCATTCCTGAAAGAACGTCCAGGGAAGCAATTCAGTTTTCTGGGAAAGTGCCATTTCTTCAGCTGTCTTATCAGGGAACAACTTTCTCCTCTTTGTTTAATTTTGTCTCACTCTCTCATCTTCCAGTTGTATGACACAGGTGTCAGATGTTCCAAAGACAGTAACTGCCTTTGCCATACAACCCAAATTCACCTTTAGGACAGGTTCTTATCACAGATATTGTGGAGGAAAAACAATGTCTACTGGCCATTATAATTTGTATCACACTGCATATGCACAAGGCAGCAAGAAAAAGGTTGTACATACACTGTTAGTTCTGGCACTCCAGATTTTCAGTACTGAACTTTGTAATGTCATTCTTGTATTTCTTCAACTTTCAAAAACAGCAAATCTAACGACTCAGGTTTCTTATTAAAACCCTAATTTTCTTCCTCAGCAATTGCTAGCTTCCCTGCTCTGTCAAACCCTTTTTCTCTTTTCCTTCTTCTGTAAAATGTCTGCAACAATTCTTAGCACTGGGGATTCTTTCTCCCACTCATCCTCATGGTGGTGTTCTCCATACAGACATTTTTACAAGCTACCCATCCCATCCCATCTTCCCAATTTGTTTTCTTGTTAGTGAGCCCAGCTCACTATTAATCATAATCTTTCACTCTATCTTCGGACAACTTGTGCCAGTCCTTGGTCACCCTCACAGTGAAAAAGTGTTTCTTGATGTTCAGAAGGAACCTCCTGTGCTTCAGTGTGTGCCCATCACCTCTGGTCCTGCCACTGGGCACCACTGAAAAGAGCCTGGCTCCCTTCAGATATTTGTACACATCAGTAAGATGCCCATGAGCCTTCTCTTCTCCAGACTGCACAGTCCCAGCTCTCTCAGCCTTTCTTCATAGGGGAGATGCTCCAGTACTTTAATCACTCTTGTGGTCCTTTGCTGGACTCTCTCCAGTATGTCCATCCCTCTCCTGTACTGGATAGCCCAGAACCGGACCCAGCCACTCCAGTTGTGGCCTCACCAGTGCTGAATAGAGGGGAAGGATCAACACCCTCAACCTGCTGGCAACACTTCTTCTAACGCAGCCCAGGATACCACTGGCTGCCTCTGTTGCAAGGGTACATTGCTGGCTCATGTACAACTTGGTGTCCACCACAACTTCAGGTCCTTTACAGGAGAAGTACCTTTGCAGCTGGGCAGCCCCCAGCATGTACTGGTGTTCCTCCCCAGGTGCAGGACTTTGGCACTTCCCTTTGCTGAACTGCAGCGAGGTTCCTGTCAGCTCATTTCTCCAGCCAGTTAAGGTCCTCCTGGATTGCAGCACATCCACTGGATCTACCACCCACTCCTCCCAGTTTTGTAGCATCAGCAAACTTGCTGAGGGTACACTCTGCCCCATCATCCAGACTGCTGACAATGACACTGAAGAGGACTGGACCCAGTATTGATCCCTAGGGTACACTGCTATTTACTTGCCTTCAATCAAACTTTATATCACTGATCACCCCTCTCTGGGCTCAGCCATTCTGTCAGTTTTCAATCTATCTCTCTATCTTCCATCAATCTTACTTTTCAAAGACACACTGAAAAAATACTAAAACATGGAAATCCAATTCTAAGATCTTTTTTATCTGGAGAAAATCTAGTAACATTCTGTGTTATGGATGATTTAAAACTAGGAAAATTAAGTCTGAGTTAGGCATATGATTTCTGATTTTTAAAAATGTTTGCAATTTGCATGACTTCAAAATTATACTTCTGGAAAGAATTAATACACAAAAAATATGCAAGGCAATAAGCTCTAAAGAGCTGTGAAAATACAGTGTAAACAAAGTCGAACACTGTTTGCGTAGAATTTATAGTCAATAAAAACTTGCAATGGCACAGAAATGTGTAAATACAATAAAATACAGTGTGTGTCTCCCTGCGCTCAAGCTCAATACACAGAATATTAACTCGTATAATAATGCAATTGGATAAGTTGCATAAAACAAGACATTTGCTTTATCTGAGGAGAGAGGAGAATGGAACTTGTGTAACCGTTATTTTTTGACAGGCAATATAATCTGGTTTATTTTTAAACTGGTACACTCAGATTCAGCAATTATACACAAAGAAATCTGCTTTAGGACAAGTATCTGGGTAATAATGTAAGCACTGCGATAGCTACAGGATGAAAAAGAGACCTTACCTGTTTTGAACACATCAAGGAAGCCATAACACAAAGATGTGGTGTCAAAAACAGTTTTAGTCTCATGATTAAAATCGCTAGGACACTGTATGCCAGCAGCTGCAATGCATGGTATACCAGCTGGAAAACAAAACAAAACAACATAGAAGCATAATATTTGCATACTTTTAATTTCTGTCTTAAACATACAACTTTATTTTCAGTATATCTTGAGCGACGAGCCTCTCTGAACAAAAAAATCCAACTCAAAGTATAGATCTTGATGTTTCAGACAGTTTTAAAGACTTTCTGTTATCTTATGGAATAACAAGAAGGATAAACATTAACAATAAAACCAAAAGGAGCCAGAGAAATGGCTAGCTATGCAAAAGATTCTGAAACATAAATAGGAAATAAGATATGTAAAAATTCTTGTATAACCTCTTTATAGAAGTGAAGAGACCTTGCTACTTAATACCTAAAATACCTAAGAATGAAATGAAGGAAGCAAATAAAATAATCCTTGATACTCACACAATCTTCAAAAAAGATTAAAAAGCAGAGATATCACTCACCACTCCGAACACTGAATCTATGTTACTTGTTATTCTTGCAATCAGTTCGATAACTGATTGACTACCGTATTTTGAGTGCCATGAGATTTTTCTCATAACACAAACCACAGATAAAGTGCTGTTAACAAAGTTTTGCACTGTCCTTGCTGGCTTAATTGAAAACAAACTACAGAAGAAAGCTGCCATTCAATTATATTTTCAGCATAAATTAAAAGAACCATGTGCAGAATTATTTTCATTATGTCATATTTCAAAAAAGAATTTTAACATTATCTGTCACTTGAAATTCCAGTAAATAAACCAATCTCTCTCTTAGTCTATATGGAAAAAACGGAAGGTCCAGCATAATTTTAGAGTCTTTCTGTACTGCTAAAGCAAAAGCCCAAAATATTCCTCTCTTGCATTGCCACCCCACCATTAGCTAGCATATTTTTTTTGTTCAAAGTTCCAGAGTTATTCTGCTGATGTTATCAGACCCAATTTAGGAAAAGGGAATAGAAGATGCAAATATTTACATTCAAATAATCCATGTATTAGGATCAGACCACTGCAACCTGTATTTCAATACTGAGTATTCTCATTAACATACAAATAAAATTATGCAGAAAAAGAATCTTACCTCACCGTGGTTAAAACGTTCTTCTCTGAATAAAAAACAGAAAATAACATTATTTATGTACTACAGAAGTACTGGTTTTACTTTGAAGTCATCTATAGTGGCTCTAGACAACTAAACTAATCCAGTACGTATGAGTCAGCACCTGCACAGATTTTCTTCCCCTCTATAACGAGCTTTGAAATATATTACAAATGAGACACTATCCTTCTCAATCCCTATACCTATTTGAAAATCTGAAAATTAATTTTGGCAGTCTTTTAATTAATTCCATGATTTTTTTCATATTTAGAAACAGCTTATTTAAACCAAATGAAACTTCAGTAATGTAAAAGAGGCAGATCACTGGTGCAAAAAATTTTTAAAAAATAAAATAAAATAAAAAAGTGAGTAATTTACTCAGGTACTACGTAGATAAGTTTTGGGTTTTCAGAAGCAAATACAAATACGAAAAGAGTCAAATCCATGCACACTCATTCTCAAAAAAACCCTGTGAAAATAGGATGCTGAATCCTGCTCACATCAGCAGCTAAACTTAGTTTTAGACTTCATATAAAAATATCACACAAAATAAATCCAAGACATTCAATTACTGAACTATACATAATCTGCCTCCCAAGAATGACATCATGTAGAATTCTGATTTATCATATAGCAAATCAAATAAACCTCCAGTAGAAAATATAGTTTTACATTAAAAAAAGACGACAATTTTACCTTTCATATTGGTCTGTCTGAGATAAGGTCCACATAAGATATTTAACTACCTGAAGAAAACAAGAGCCATCAGAAAGTATGAATAAATTTTCTAAAGAATTCTAAAGCATTTTCAACATTTGCTAAATTAAATTACACTTGGGTAGTTATTTTGAGATAATGCTGAGATAAAAGACATGCAGTGTTCTAGCTAAAAACTCTTTTTGAGGATGTTTAATTAGCCAGGCAGTTAGGAGTTATGCCATCTGTTCCTGTGTAAACTGTAAGTTGTTTTTACACAAATTATACATCATCAAATTTACAAAACCAGTTATAAACTGCAGTTATAATACTCATCAGCTAAGTGATAGAATTTTTTTTGGCATTTAACATCAAAGCAAGTTTTAACACCAACTCAGGACTGGACCTTTGCAAAAACTTATGTAAAGAAAACAGAGAATTTAAAGCAAGTATTTTTGAAAACCTGTACTTTATATAAATATATTGGGTTTGTGTGGCAAGGTTTTGGTAGCAGAGGGGCTGCAGGAGTGGCTTCTGTGAGGGGACTGCCTCCATGTCAGCCAGAGTCAGTTCCAGCCAGCTTCAGAATGTGTCTATCACTATACAAAGCTGAGCCCATCAGTGGCACTGGTAGTGCCTCTGCTGATAACATGTTTAAGAAAAGGTAAAAAACACTGTGCAGCAGCATTAAGAGAGAGCAGTGACAAAAACGAGAGAGAAACAACCATAAAGACACCAAGGTCAGTGAAGAAGGGAGAGGAGATGCTCCAGGTGCCAGAACAGAGATTTCCCTCTAGCTTGCAGGGAAGACCATGGTGATGTAGGTTTTGCCCCTCAGCCCATGGAGGACCACAGTGGAGCAGATACCCAGCCTGTGGAGGACCCCATGCCAGAGCAGGCAGATATGCCCTGAAGAAATGTGCAACGCATGGAAAGCCCACACAGGAGTAAGATCCCGGCAGGAACTGAAGCAGTCCACTCCTGAAGGACTGTACCCCCGAGAAAGGAGACCCATTCTTAAACAACTGCAGCCTGTGGGAGGGACGCCTTGAGCCTGGGAAGGAGGAGGTAGGGATGAGGTGAAGGTGGTTTTAGTTTTGCTTGTTTCTCACAATCTTACTCTATTTTTAATTGACAATAAATTAAATTAGTCTTCCCTAATTCAGTCTGTTTTGCTCATGACAGTAAATTGCTGAGCAATCTCCCTGTCCTTATCTTGACTCATGAGATTTTTCAACTCTATTTTTCCCTCCTGTTCTGCTGAGGATGGGGAATGAGAGCATGGCTTAGCAGGCACCTGACAGCCAGCCAAGGGTAACTCACCACACTAACTTCTGCCCATCTCAAAATAAACAGTGATACCTTCAAAAAAATAAAAAGTAAATTCAAGGTAAAGGTGATTCACTAAATCAATCACTTACCCTTTTGATGATTACCCCAAAAACCACTAGAACGACTGGCAATAGCAGAGTCTTTGTGTATCTTACTGGAGTCTACAAGGGAAATAAAACTGCATGAATTGCTTTCCATTCACCTATATATAATTTAATGGTAATTTTAAAGAAAACAATATGAAGAATTCTTCCTCGAGTGAAATGTAAAATTAAACATTCAACAAGAACAAAGCAAGCTTAAAGAAAGTAAAATTTCAACTCCACCCAGCAATCACACTACAGGTCGTAATACTAAACCCATTAGTAAATTATTCCCAGTTCTTTAGCAAGCCACCCTAAGACTAAAAGTAGATTGTATCTTATCTGAATTAGAGTACTATGGGTTCAGTAACCTATAAAAGTTTTAAATGCATATCTAGATCCTGATGAACTAAAAAGTATCTACTAACACCACATTAAGAAGCTTCAATGCTCTTCTGTAGTCTAAATACCACACAAGACCTTTGCAGCTCTCAATACATTTTCCATATACTCAAAACCAGTTACTGACAACCACAGACTCTTAGGTTTGCAGAACTGTAACCTTTTATTTATCCCTGAGCAAGCACTTCTTTCATACAAGCAAGCACGTTTCTTAGATCCAAAATCAAAACATCATTTTGTTTTAGTTCATTTAAAAGCAATAGAACCAGTTAAATTTAGCTTAAGTTTATTAACATCTCTAACTTCACAAGTAAGCACTTGAACTTATGATGGCAGTAGGAGATAATGGTTCTCAGATGTTCTAAGATAAAGCAAAAATTTCCCTCTTCCATAATAATCTATTTTGATCAAATTACCTCTTTTTCCATGAAATCAAACTCTGCAGCACAGGTATACATTAATGTATCAAAATCCTTGTAGCCAATAAATTTAGATTTTAATATATTTCCTATATGAGCCTGGTAAAGGAAAAAAAGAGCTGCAGTAAGCAAAAAATATCCTGTTTTCCACAACAAAATAATTAAAATGTATATAAGAAATATCTTTAAAGTATAACAGAAGTTTATACCATTTACAATATTGTTATAAGAGCACCAGAAATCTATTTATGGGATATTAAATGACATTTTCGAGTGTACCAGAGATTAGACTGTGTTAAATAAAAAGCAGAAAGCAGCAGAAAAGGAGTGCTACCATTGTAATTGGGTTCAACAGGAGTATAGTTTTGCATACTCAGTATTTCATGATACAAGCTTCCCATCTTTTGCCCATCATGCACATAAGCAGACAGGTTTTTAATAGTAGAATCTGACAAAAAAGGGAGCTGAAGTGAAGCGAGGAGTCCTAGTTATAACAAGCATTTCAAAACTGACATAAAGATTAGCTTCAGAGGAAACTGAACTAAGAAACTGAGTGAAGAAAAGGTGTAGGTAGAAGATATCTAAAATAAACAAAGCTCCATAAATCCACATTTGAAAACAAACACACAGAGCATTTACTAACTCAATATCAAAAACATTTGTCTTCTCACAAACTTTGGTAATAAGACCTCAAAATGATAATACATAAAGCAAGTACACAATTCCTCTCCCATTTCTACAAAACAAATCTTGGAGTTTTGGGAAAGCATACCAGTAAGATGCCAAAATCAAAACATTAACAATTTAAAAATTTTTACAGACACCAGTCAGATACTTAGATAAGATAACTTACATCATCAGCTATTCCAAGCGCTAAAGAAGTTAGGTATTTCAATGTGACTGTACCAAATAACCAGGCACATCCTTCAATGACCTTAAAAAATATTCAGGATTAAATAAACATGTCAACAAACTTTCAAATAAACCTTTTCTTTTTTTGAAAAGCTTATTCAATTTAGCTACTAGTTACAAACTCTCCTATGTTATCACCAATAAGTACAGTAATTTTTAACAAATTTCACTTCCCAAATTTCACTTCCCAAATTTCAGTACACTGGAGTGTTTTAACTTTTTTTATATTTTCCTCTTACAGCTGAAATAATTTTGTGCAACTGATTTATATTACAGCTGTACTGCTCACACAACACTTTAAACAGGAGCACCCTAACGGTGAATTCCATCTGTTTTGCATACACCAGTGTATAGTGATTATTTCCCACCAATAGCCTCTCCATATTGTCAGGCTGTACTACTCTGGTAATTCAAATCTTTGGAGGAATTTGGTGATTTATAGTACCTTGCCAAGATAATCTCAAGTTAGAACTTGAAGGAAGTATAAAGAAAGTATATACAATTATTACTGTTAGTTACATATCATGTTTATCCCTTTACCAGAAAGATTAAGCTAGATTACTAAGAATTTAATTTATCTAATTCTTTATAAAACTGGATCAACCATCACACGGCTCAGCATCTTCTATCTGGGACCACCAGCAGACACCTTCAGAAAAAGAACATAAAATACAAACTGATTTTAACCCTAATGTAACCAGAGTTTTTATGTGACAATGGGTTCATTCAATCATCCCATTTAATGGCTGCAAATGAACCTAAATACCTAGGAAGTACCTAAGCCCTCTTTGAATTCCTCAATTTTTATTTTTATTTTTTTCTTCTACAGTATTTCTTCTCTTATAAGCTTATTGCTGCTAGCATAAGGGACACTAGATAAATTATAATTATATTCTACTTCTATTCACTAGCTTTGTCATATTTACCTTTATTTTACAACATGTAGAATTCTAACCTATTTTAAAATCTCAGCTACTTAGCAATACTACATTAATAATTACCTTTATACTCTCTCTACTTTAAATGGGATGGTAGTACATTTTGGGAGAAGGCATTCAATTTTGTTTTTTTAAAGCTAGTCTGCAGTTCCACAAATGTCTTTGATCTCTTTTTAAAAACTGACATGAGATTTGCCTACACTCCCATTTTCCCTCGTGCCACAGCTAGCTACGCTGTTAGGCTATACACGCACTGCAGTTTGTTACAAATATTTTTAAAATTTATGTATATTCTAACTTCTTTATAATAAATGTACAAATTCAATCCATTTTTGCTCACAGGTTACCCTTCATTAATAAAAATGCATGTCTATAGCCAGGCATAGTCTCGATAGGCTCCCATTTCAGGTGTTTATTTTATAAACTAATGTTATGTCTTAAGCACCAAGTTGCTTCTCATGTTTTCTACAGTGTTGTATTTTATTCACCATAGTTTTGGGAGTGTTTCCCATGTTTAGACATGAATTCTATTGCCCTCAAACCCCACCCACACACCTTATAGTGTTTTAGTACAATTTGTTTCCTTATGTAATTATAAGTTACTTGCTGTTATTATAAAAAATACCATTACAAAAATTATACAGGATACATTTCAGTGGATATCTAATGCAGTATTTTAATCTCAATTTCTGCAAACACTGTTAGCCTTTTACTTGCCTTTTCTAAATTACCCTTTATTTTAAAGGGACTTTCATATAGATCTTAGGTTTTGTAAACATGTTCGACAATTTAAAATTAAATGTGTTCCTATCTGAAGGCTTTTTAAATTTTCTGATATAAATGCATGCTTATGTCCTTTTTCTTCCTTCAGTAATTTAAGATTGATTTCTGGGAATATGGACAATTTATTAAAGAGAGTAGTTACATAAACATACAGCTACATTTCTGGATTTTCACTTATCAGAAACTAAACCAGAAGTTAATTCTGGATTTCACCACAACAAACAAACAAAAGTCATAGTTCTTTTCCGAAATTCAAAATATATTAAAAACCTTACCCATACATAGACTTCTCTTCTGCTGCTTTTCAAGAATTTTCGACTCAACTCAAGAATTCCCTAACAATAAAATGAAAGTATATTTTCAGGTAACATGGTGACAAGAAGATATTTCAGTACCCTGCATGAGGGTTTTGTTTTGTGTTTTGGTAAGCACCTATTCTATCACAAAGCTATTTATTAAAAAAACCCTCCATAATTAATACAACCTGAAATATGAATGAATATGTAATTTTGTGATTCCACCCTGCACTGGCAAACATGCCAGCATAAAACCTCTTACTGCAGTTTATATACAATTAATGGAAGAGTACTCTTTTTCTTAACCAGTAAGATTCTGTATTGTACAATTCTAAGCTTCTTTAAATCAAAGCCAATGGGAAACTGAATTACGTTACTTCCACAAATGACAAGAGATATCTGAAGCAATAAATAAATTACTGGCAGCATAATAGAAACAATTTTCAAACAGGGCAACAGAATACGGGGGTGGGAGGAGTTACTGGTATTTTTCTGCTTCACATCATGTTCCTCATTTTATAACACAAGGAAGACTCATTTTAAGCTAACTTGATGAACAATACAATTAGGAAAACCTGAGAATGAACTTTAAAGTTTTCAGAAACACAGTCTGTACGTGAGACTAAGGCCAATAAAAGCACCCAAATAACAGACAATCAAGAAGTATTTTTTCCAAAGCAGAGAACTGGCAAGAAACTCAAGGTACCTGCATTTACTATATAATTAAAAAAACTGCTATGAGTGAGAATGAGTTTATAATAAACAAACTATACTACAGCAAATATCAGTAGCCAAGGAAGTTTATTGTTAGCATAAGTGAGAAATTACCACTCTTTTGCTGATGGACAAAATATAAACAAAAGAAAAAAAAAATCACTGAGGTCAGCCCACATGTCTAGAAAAGGCAACAAGAATCAGAAATAGAGATGATTTGTAGTATGCTAAACTAGATCTGTTCACACAATCTCACATCCTGTTTCCTATGAACATAAATTCCTTAAGGGACAATATATGAAACTGAAGGAGGCTGGGAGTTGTTTTTCCTATTTACAGAAAAATTAAGATAGTGAATGATGAGTCTTCAGTGAATAATTTCATTAATATGACAATATGACTCAGCGGTTTCAAATAGTCTTAAACCATTGTTATCTATGTTTTAGTCATTTGTTCTGCATTTACAGTGTCACAATCAATAAAGAAACATTTAAAACAAACTCCTCCTTGCTCATGTTCTTGTTTTACAGTTACTCTAGTCAAAAATACATAGATGGTAAATTTTATATTTTTATGAAAAGAAGAGAGCTATAAAAACAAGAGAACTGAGCCTTAACTGAATTTCTCTTATGAAGAGCTCTTGGTGTAAAAACAGTATTTTTTTAAATTAGTATTTACCCATTCTCCAAATATCTTGAAGGTCTAACTCCGTTTGTCATGCAAAAGATTTCTCAACTATCTGGTAATGCAGCAGTTTCACGTTTTACACCAATACATATATAAGTATTGCAGTCTTCAAATGTGATATGATTGTTTTTCTTAACTTACCCAGATAACTAATAAAGATGCAGCATAATATGATGTCAATAACATTGAATTACCAAACATCAGAGTAAAACACACTACAAGAGATATCTGAAAGAAAACAAAAATAATTAAATTTAAAATGGAAAAGGTAAAAATTGCCCAAGTACAGAAATTACCTTTTGTCAACAGCTTTAAATTTAAAGCCATATACTTCACAGAAAGTGCAAGCTTGATACTCAAGATTACAGAATTGTTCTGAAAACATGGATTATAAGGACTTAATGGCACCAGGTAGTCATGTGTAGGTTATTACGTTAATTTATACTTTTTTAAGTACTTATAGACAAAAAGATGATCACAGGACTAAGTCATCTTATGCAATGTAACAGCTATTCGTAACATTTTGTTTTTCAAATTATTGTATTATTTTTCCATCCCGTTTGTTATATTTCAGAATCCTGGCCAAACATAAAAATGTTGAATAAAACGTCTGTTGCCTTCTTTCTTGCAAACTGAGAAGCATATATTTAAAATATAATCATGACCAAAGTCAAGGAAGCAGAACTCTGACTGTTTGGTCATATGCACTTAACTATGAGGCTGAAAGTCAAGGCTGAAATACAAATTTATCCACCATTCTGATCTCCTACTGTGCTTTCTTTTCAATAGAAAGGAAGGTGAATTACATTTTTGAACTTGGAGAGCAAAATCTATGCTCAATCTGTCTTCTTCTGTAGATAGGAATAAAGAAAAATGATCTAGCTATTTGTAAAAATATGCAGACTTCTGTACTCTCATCTTCACATAGTTAGACTTCCATGTTCCTCAGAAAAGTGGGGAGGTAGCAAAAATTGAAAACACCACAAAACAGTTTACCCAGTCTCATTAAGCTTTCTCTGTAATACAGTAGGCTTTCTATGACAATTCGGCATCAAAATTATGGTATCTGGCTACTGACATAAGCCAAAAGGCTTCAGTATTTCATCCTGCTTTTATCAAAAAAATTACTAAACCAAGATATTTATTTGCAAATTTTCCTGGTAAATCTGATAGAGAACAAGCATTTGGCATCCTGGGATTATTTCAGAAATGAGTTGCACAGAACTTACTACTGTCTTAAATTTAAAATTTACAGTATTGCAAAACACTTTTGAAAACACATGAAATACAACTTAACTCAAAGCTCCTTTCTGGCAGTAAACACTCTTTTTGCCCACTGAGTTTGGATAGCAAAATTTTAGCAAAAATGTATTTTTTAAGACGACCATATTTCTTCAAAAAAGTTGCTTACATCTTTCTGCATATTTAAAACCATAATCTTGCTTCAAAGATCAAAACTGCTGGTAGCAAAACTTGATCATTATCTTAACTTTAAAAATGACAATCAGATGTATGTAGAAACATATGTGCCTTTTAGTTACAATCTCCTTCCTTTGTTGACTTTCTCACCCATTTTTGAAAACAAAACAAAAAAAGCTTTTCTTCAGATTATTTTCTTTGTCCTCCTTTCTAATTACCTCCACAATTAGTTCAACCATAACGTCTTTTCATGGTCAAGTCTGCAAAACCCAATTATAGTTAGAGGTCTTCTCCTTCAATGATAAAGAGTGTATTCTCTAATTTTGACTTAAGACTTTTTTTTTTTGCCTAATAATCTATGGCATGAGATGAATGCTCCCTTTTCAACTTTTTATTGCTTAAGTCCATATTACTTGGTATGTTTTCTAGTCTGTTCTTTGAGACAGTATCTTCAAGTCCATGAAATGAACAGACACAGAAAGGAGACAAACATTTCTACAAATGTTTTAGGTTGATAACTTCTCTGGAGTACAAAAATTCCTGTGTGTCACAGAGATCCTAGTTTCTGACACCGATATAAATATACATAAGATTAAATATTCAATTCCAGGCCCCTTCATTCCTTATTATTGCATCTTTTAAACCACCCTGCAACTAAGGAAAACACTTCAGATAAATGGCCTCTTTTGATGTTGTGACCTGTTTCAGGGGTTTTAAGTTTTTTTTAAAAAGTTATTACCATATGAGCAGAGAGTATCTTCTGTAACTTGCAGGAGTCAATATAACCCATAATACACACAGCAAATAATGAAGCTATCTAGAATCAAAAGTGAAAGATAAATTAAAACAATTTGCAGTTGTGTACTCTTTCTAGCAGAATATACATTCATACAAACAAGATTATTCAAACAATCATTAACTTTTATTGCTACTTTTTTCCTAAGTACGTACTCGGGCATTTCATAATGGTTTCTTTCAAAAAAACCTATTGTGGTGTTCTGAATAACAAATAGCAAACATATTTGAATATGTAAAAAAATAAGTAATCAGCTTTATAAAAATGCAAGTCACCAAAACACAGTACTAACACATCATCTTTCACTCCTAGATTAAAAATAAATAAATAAGATTATTTAACTTTAACTTTTCAGCAAAATATGGGTACATTCATAATTTGCTGCTGAGGAAAATGAGATTCACTGATTAGGTAGCTTGATAAAACTTACATGGAAAATTCATGAAATTATGAATGAAACCTGTAATTTCAAATTTCAGGCCCAGCATCTTAAACAGATTATAGTGATGACTTTCTCACAGTATTTTACAGAATTTAATGACTTCCTCTTCTGCAGTTAGAAAACTTGCATGCCACAGCACATATTGATTGTTCAAAACTATCAACTCAAACCAAGCAACATCTGCTTCAAGTAAGACAGACAAGTGAAAAGGTAGAGACCAAGATGGATTTCAATCAACAGGCTACACTTCAATCAATTTAAGGAAGTGTGCTGCATGACAGTATCTTACTGCTCACATTAGCATTTTCTTTATTTCAATGCTAGCTGAAGTAACCTCAACTGCCCAAACTCCCAGATACTAAAATAATGCCACTACTCATAGGTTCATCAACACATTAAATAGGAAATCATGCAAAAATCATGCCAGATATTACATGCCATGCAAACACTGCTCCATTTAAAATTTGGAATATCTTAAAGAGATGCAAGATCAATGCCTTTTTTATTTTTGTACTTCACCATACAAAGTTTTTTCTTGTTCTGCACTTGTTCTAATGTATTGGTCTTAGCCCAGCAGCTACTTTTAAGGGAAAAAGTAAATTTTTTAGTCCAGAAAACAGAATATTGAGTGGTGTAAATGGTCCACTTTAAAATTTAAGACTAGAAAAATGCTGATGTGATAAACAGTGTGAATCTTTCCTGAGAGCAAGAGTGAAATCCAGCGAAAAGGAAAGCATCGATATAGCTGCTAATTAAATAGCTGTCTATACAAAGTAGTCAATTTGCCTAGATAAGACAAAGGCTATTTAGAGGTGAACACGGTCTTACCTGTGTTAGAAGAACAAATTGAGCAAACTGCCAGGGAAGCATGAAAAAGATATTAGAAACACACAGTGCAATCAAGCTTCCTGTATTAATATTCGGAATCCTTGGGAAAAAGAGACAGAATAGGCATCAGTAAATAAAATTATACAGGTATTTGCATAGTATTGAAAAGTACAATAGAGAATGCAATCAAACTAAAATTGCAAGTTAGCTAGCAATACTGATCAACTACAAACACTGCTCAATTAAATTTAATACCTATTTTCCATCAGTTTCCAAAAACATTATTTCTGATCCTTAATGTTTCTTAACTATTTGATGAATCACTCATTACCAAACCAGTCTTCTCCTGGCAGCATGTAATACAGCAGGCCAACCTATGTCATTTGCAGGGGCCCACTATCTTGTAACAACTCTACAGACAGGTCACAATTTTCATTTCAGCTGGAACCACAACTGTTCACAGAACAGTCTGCATTTGGACATGAATTCACTCCTCTCTGTCTCACAATTCTTCCATACTTACTTTCTGCTAGCAATCCTGAATGGGGTTTTCAGAGCAGGAGACAACGCAAATAAATTAAACTCATCTTTAACAAAAACCAGCCCATTCTCTATGTCCTGCTATAAGTGTTATTTATCTAATCCTGTGTTATCTTCGGGTTCATTTCAGAAACATGCCATATTTCCAGTTTCACTGTGGCCTCCAACAGATGAAGACACCATAAATGTTCTGCTGTAAAACCCAAACTCAACAGATTACAGCAGTCTCACTAAGTTCTGTAAAATTTTCTTCAGCTTCTTTTACAAAGCCTCAAGATGAACTTCTATGGAAAGTCATGCTGATCATGAGTCTAATGTATTAAGTAATGTTACACAGATGTGATATAAGTGATACAAATGATAGAGAATTTAAATTCTAGTCTGTTTCAAAGACCGTTTCTATGTTTCATTGGAATATATCTATACATAAAACAGTACTACTCTAGAAGCAGGAATTATAACTGAGAAACAAACTTAAATGTTTTATCTCCTTTTTGGAACCTCACTCTGAAATTATTAGATTAAACACTCTCATTGGTAAGCAAGCCCAAGTACTCTTTTATGTACCAAAGATCTGAAGAGCAGGAATTAATCTACCTAATCAAGAGGTGTCATAATTACAGATACAGGATATCTGTGCTCTGATCACCCTAACATACAGTGTAATTTCCTCATTTTTTGTTTGACCTCATAATTTAGCATTAAATTAACAGATATCTTTCTAATACGAAATCTAGTAATGACTCTACAAACTATTCCTCAGAGTATTCTTCTAGACAGCATGTATGTTTTCTTCACCTAATAAACACAAGTTAGTGATGAGCACAAAATATTTTTGGTTTAACCATCAATAACTACAAAATCAGTATGACCTAATAAGGGAAAATCCTGGGTTACAAGTACAAAGTTCAGCTAAATCATAAATATACTGCAAATCAGATGCAATGGAGTTGATGGAAAAGCCCTTAAGTATTAATGATCATGCTTATTTTTCAAAACAGAGGCAAGACAGTAACACAATCATGTTGCAAGCCAGAAACAACCACTTAAAGCAAGGCTACGGAACTCAAGAGCA